TGGCTCTGCTCACTTCACTCAGCATCAGTCCATACAAGTCTTTTGGAGATCTTTTGTAACCCCTTAGATTTAGATTCTGGTTCTGAGTTGCCAGCTTCCTTTTACGTCAAGAATTCTTAACCTTGGGTCCATGACTTTTAAAAAAATATTTTATTAACTGCTTTGTTGTTGTGGAGTCATTTTCAGCCATATCTGATTTTTTGTGACTTGATTTGTTTTTTTTGTTTGTTTTTTTTTTGGCAAAGATACTGGAGCGGTTTGCCATTTCCTTTTCCAGCTCATTTTACAGACGAGGAAACTGAGGCAAACAGGGCGAAGTGACTTGCCCAAGGTCACATAGCTAGTAAGTGTCTGAGGCCAGATTTGAACTCACAAAGATGAGTCTTCCTGACTTCAGGCACTCTCTCCACTGTGCCACCTAGTTGCTCAATTAAAATAGATACTAAATCACTAATATGGAGAATATGATAAAAAAAAATCTGGAAAGTATATGCTACTCAATTGCTGACAGCACAAAGTAATAAGACAAGGTCAGAAAAATAACTCAACTATTGAGAAAATCATAACCTATGAGTGACACATCTAAGGGTTAAATCAAGGCCTGACACTATCCGCTGCACCACCTGGCTGTCCCCTTGTTAACTGTATTTCAATAGAATTGACTTTATTTTAGGCACTTAAAAACCATTATTCTAAAAAGAGATCCATAAGCTTCACTAGGCTGCCAAAGGGGTCCATGATGCAAAAAAGGTGAAGAACCCCAGCTCTAAGTGAAATTGTTTTCCTGGGTTTCCATCTTCCTAGTAAATGGTTGGAATGTTGGTATCTCTTGTTCAGTAGGCCATGTCCTATACTATCAGAAGGTTCATTTTTAGTTCTCTGCTCAGGGCTGCTCAGAAAGGCGACAGGACTCCATTTTCATGAAGCCTCCTATCCTCTGTCCTTCCTTTTCCAAGCTGATGGTCGCAATACAATCCCCGAATCCTGGCACATGACCTCAGAAGACTCTGACATCCTAGGGCTTCCTTCAGGAAACAGCTCCCTTGCTAACAAGCCATTCTAAGCACTTGGGAGCCTTTCTGGGGTGCTTCGTTAAAGATCCCAATGTTCCCCTATTACACAAATAAGAGGACTTCATGGAGTCAGGAAATGGAATGTTAAATTTGAGGAATTTGGGTGGAACTTAGAGGCCATGAAGGGGAGAAATGAGAAAGGAGGCTAGAAAGGTATGTTTGAGCCAGATTGTGAAGGCTTCTGGGAGGTCCAGAGAGAGAAGGGAGTCAGTAATTATGTGGGATGTTTAGGTTATATTGGGACAATGTCAATTTTTTTTTTTTGGCCTCAAATGGATAGACAAGGGGAAATGTGTACTTGTTACATTCTGATCCTGTCTACTGTGTCCCAAACACTAAGTGTCATGAGTAGTGTGTGGGTAAAGGCATAACATTTCAGCTAGGTGGAGCAGAGGATAGAACACTAGGCTTGAGTTCAAATCGAGCCTCACATAGTTACTAGCTGAGTGACCCTGGACAAGTCACTTAACCCCAGTTTGCCTCAGTTTCCTCATCTATAAAATGGAGATAATAATAACACCTCTCAGAGTTATTGTGAGGATCCAATGAGATAATCATTATAAAGCACTTAGCACAGTGCCTGGTACATAATAAATGCTACACAAATGTTAGCTATTATTGTAATTGGTTAGTTACTCATGCTCAGCCTCTGACTGACTAAAACTACTGTGTGTCTTTCACAAGTCAAGAAGAAAGCTCTCCATGCATGTCTGCATCTGGGCTACATACATACATACATCTGTGCCAACTGTTGGCAGCTAGTGCCTTTCTACACCCAAAGATGAGAATCTAGTTTTCCTCCTGGCCGACTACTTCCTTGAAAGGGAAGAACGGGAGCCATGGAAGTGAAGTAGAAGGGAGAGTTTTAATGACTTGATAGGGGCCCTATTGGACCGGTGCCCAGAGGGAGTCAAAGCAACAAAATATATATGTGGGGAGCCGTCTGCTAGCTGAGCTGTCTGCTAGCTGTAGGAAGGCATTAGTTATGGGACTGGAAATCAAAAGACCTGGGTCTGAGTGCCTGAACTGTTGTCCATTCGATGTGTGACCATAGAAGGCAAATTCATTTCTCCTCTCTGGCCACAGTTTCCTTTTCTACAAAATGGGGAAGAGTTTGGGCTAGAGAGTCTAGTTATTGGATGATCTCGAGGGATGTTTCCAGTTCTAACATTCCGTGATCTGTGTAACAATATTCTATGTTCTAAGGTCCCTTCAAACTCTAACAGCCTGTGTTCTGTGCTCTGACGTTCCATGTTCTAAGGTCCCTTCAAGCTTTAACAACCTATGTTCTATGCCCTGATGTTCCATGTTCTAAGATCCCTTTGAGCTCTAACAGCCTGTGTTCTATGCCCTGATGTTCCATGTTCTAAGATCCCTTTGAGCTCTAACAGCCTGTGCTCTATGCCCTGACAGTCCATGTTCTAAGGTCCCTTCGAGCTTTAACAGTCTGTGTTTTATGCTAACATTCCATATTCTAAAGTCCTGTGCAGCTCTACCTCTTAACATTCTTTATGCTAAGGTCCTTTCCAGATCTAACAGTAAATATTCTTTGTTCTAAAATTTTATTTTATAAGGTCCCTCCCAGATTCTAATAATTGGAAAATGTTTATTCCCTTAGTTTCCTAGGAAAAAAATCTCTTTTGAACAATACCAACTTTATCTCAGATGAGCAAAGAGGAAAGAAGACTTTTCCAGATTTCAATCACAATAGTTTATGGGGGAAGGTTGGAAGATCAGAGAGCCCTAACAAATCTGAAGTCATGCTGGCATTCGAAAAGAAATTGATCCCTGGAGGGCTAGGGTATTGGGAGGTAGCTAGCTAGCTAGAAACCCAGAAAGAAGGAGCCAGGGAAAGTCTAGAATGTAGATTCCTTCTCCCTGGGGTTGTCCCTTACAGCTTAGCTAATAACAAACACCTTGGCACAAAGTCACCTGGTCACAGCTTGGAGGCCCAAACAAACAGGCCTTCCATGAGTAATCAGGAAGGCATTTTAGGACCCAGAGCTCCGTGATTTTTACATAGCATGAGGCCAAGAATAGGGGGAATTGGAGTAGAGATGAGGAGAGGAGAGGGAAAGGATCACACAGGAGGCTTCACTCCCTGGCATGACTTAAAGGAATGGGGGTTAAGAGAAAGCACTGGCTCCATGCCATGTCATTACCTGGAAAGGTCAGTAACAAGAAGAGAACAGATATCTCTGTCAGGTATCTCTGATGCTTGGAGATAAATTTTTAAAAACAGGTTCAAAGGCAGACAGCTGGGGCTCAGGGGCCCCTCAAAGTTTACTCTTTCCCTGTTTACTTTAGTTAATCATCCCAGGAGCACAAACAGCATGGAAAAGTCTGGGGGATGGGCCAATGGTTGACCTTGACTAGGCCCCTGGGCTCCTGGCTCAGCTCCGCGTTCAGTTTTTGTGCAAAACTCTAAGTAGAAAATTGCTCTGTTCACTTCAGGCAAAAGAAATTATGGGGGAGGAGATAGTAAGACCATAGGTAAAGAAGTGCCAGGAAAAGGGGTCCTTGACCCCTAAAAGAGTCCAGCCGATGCATTCCTTTAGGGAGAAGAGGTGGGGTTTTGGGGGGGAGGTGAGAGGGGCAGAACACAGGAGTGATCTGAAATTTGGATCTTAAGGAGCCTGGAGGTCTCCGGGCTAGTCTAGGGAACAGGGTTCAGCTTCCTGGTACAGACTAGTCAGTGAATCACAGGGCACAAGTTTTTGCTTCATTCAGTGATTTGGTTTGGCTTGGTAGGATGAGTGGAATAAGGGGGTGACAATTAGTTGAATTGAGCTTAACTGCTGGTTGGTAGCTAGTCTCATTGTGCCTCTCCAGCAGTGACTGAAAGATGATGGAAAAAGGCCTAGATGGTGCTTATAGAGCCATTTCCCACCAAGTCATTTCCCCTTTCCAAACCTCAGTGGTCTTATCTGTAAAATAGGGTTAATGGGCATTGTCCTTTGTTCTCAAAGAGGACCAAAATGACTTCACTATGTTAGAGTCAAGGTGCTGTATGTCTGACTGTGGCTGATCAGACCAATACAAGTGCGGAAGGCTCTACCCCAGGTTGGCATATGAACACTTGGCATGCAGATGTCTCTAAATTTGCAAATCTCACATTTCTTTTGAGCTACTACAAGTCTGCCTTGCTCATAGAGCACAGCACCTTCTTTGAAGCGGGCCATGCTGGGTGGCCTTGTGCCAGTGTCTCTCCTGAATCACAATCAATTCCAAAGTTCTTCAGAGAGACCTTGAGAATGTCCTTGCATCACTTCTTCTGACCTCTTGTGTGAGCTCTCCATAGAATAGTCTTTTGGGCAAACGTACATTTGGCATTTGAACAATGTGGCCAGCCCATTGGAGTTGTGTGATGGAGTTTGGATGCTTGGAAGATCAGCTCAACGTCCAGTACAAGGTTATTCCAAGGATTCAGTGAACTCATGGATGGGAAAGAATTTTAAAAAGCAAAGTCCTTAAAATGGATCTCCAAAGAATCATAGACACAGGGCTAGAAGATACCTTAGAATTCACCATTCACCATTTCCTCAGTTTACCAGGCTATAGGCCTTGTCCCTTGACTCTTCCTAGGACTCTATTTGTACTGGATTCGGAGCCAGGACCCAGATTCACATCTCAGTTCTGCTATTTTCTACCTGTGAGACCTTGGATAAGTCACTTATTGAAGGGGCCCAGGTGAACTAAATCATCTCATCTCTAGTATAAGGTCCCTTTTAGTTTGAAATCTATGGTCCTATAACACTTGCGAAGGACTCTGTAGGAAGATTCCTTCTCAGAAGGGTCCTGTGGCCCTACTGGATAATGGAACTGCCTGGTGGTAAAGTGCTGGATTACAATTATCTCAGTCTGATAGGATCAATCATTGTCAAGCCTGGATTCTGATTGACTCTAGCTGCCTAAGTCAAATAGCCCCGACTCTGACCAAGGGTCAGTGGCTAGGCAGCCACAGCATTCATCTCTAGCACACCTATCATCTACATCCTGGAGAACAGAAGAGACTTTGCCTGCTTAGAACCAACTGCTGGGACTGACACCACCAGACTGACCCCAGAAGCCATGCTGGGCCCCCGGCTACTCATCATCCTCTTGGTCACCTTGGCCACAGCCCAGGGAAGTCCTGTACCCATTCAGGATGACATCCAAGTGCAGGAGAATTTTAATCTCTCTAGGGTAAGAGTTCTGATTTCTCAGGGGGAGGGGAGGGAGGGAGAAACAAATTTGGAACTCAAAATCTTACAAAAGTGAATGTTGAAAACTATCTTTACATATAATTTTTAAAAATGAAATACTTTTAAATGGGGAAAAAGAGTTTTGATTTTTCTAGGATTAGAATTTCGATTTCTAGAGTGAGAATTTTGATGTCTCTAGTGTGTAACCATTTCCTGCTTGTGACAAGGAAGGGGGCATTCAGACTCACTCTTAACTGAAGGTCTGTGGTCTTGGAAGTTTGTTTGTTATTATTCTAAACACAGGAAAAATAGTGAAATCAGGTAGGGAAAGTAGTTTGGGGAGGAGGGAGGAGGAACAAGGACAGAGTTGTGAATGACTATCGGGAGCCATTCCATTTAGTCTAATCATTATAGAAATCACACATTTTTAGAGTGATGTATAGTTTACCAAGCCTTTCCACAGCTTATTTGGACTTTCTAGGCTCCAAAAATCCTGTTATTAAAGGCCAAATAGCCTTTGAAGTAGAGCTATCTTGAGTTATTATCCACTAAAATCTGAGGAGGGATTTCTTGGCAGCCAGGTGAGAGCAAGACCCTTAGGGAAATGGAACTCACAACTCACAGCCTGGTAGAGGAGGACAATGCATGGGACAGGGCACTAATCAGGAAAGCGGAAGGACACCAATGATAGATTTCACTAAGCCATAGTTCTCTTCCCCGCCTCCCCCACCAAGAGGCAGACTGTACCTGAAGAGGGCTGGTCTGCAAACCGACAGTGGGGTGAGGTGGCAGAGTCTCTCAGGATGGGAGGGGGCACATGGATAGCCACTGCTTCTTTTTTGCTTCACAGATATTTGGGAAATGGTATGATGTGGCCATCGCTTCCAACTGTCGGTGGCTGAAACGGTTCCAGGGCCGATTCTCTGTGGGTACTCTGGTCCTGGGCCAGGGGCAGACTGACCAGGAGATCAGCACCATCAGCACCAGATTTAGGTGAGTCTGGGAACTGGGTGGGAGAAGAGACCAAGAAGATGAAGGAAATAGTTTCACAGTGAGCCACTGCCCTCATCCTTTTCCCACCTCCCTCCTTCCTTCATTCCACTGGGCCAGATTCCATAGGATTATAGTATTCAGAGCCAGAAGGGACCTCAGAGGTCATTTCATCCAGCCCCCTCACTTTACAGACCCCCAAGAGGTAAACTGACTTGCCCAAGGTGTCAAGCTGGATAAGCTCATTCTTTACCCTCTTTGACTCAAGCACATCGCACAGCACCTTCAGTACTGTAGGTGCTTAATAAAAGCTTCTTGCTTGCTTGAAATCAAGGTAGGATTACATGGATGAGGACCAGCCTACAATAACACCCTGAAATAGGTGTCCTTTGACTTTGTTGATTCAGGGCCAGGGTGGCAGAAACAATTGCATTTTAGTCTTTGCATTCTCAATGCCTAGCATAGTGCCTGGCCCATAATGGGCAATTAATACATGTTTGTGGAATCTAACTGAATTGAATCATTTTGTTCAATTGTTTTTCAGTCATGTCTTACTCTTTGTGACACCATTTGGGGTTTTCTTGGCAAAGATACTGGAGTAGTTTGCCATTTCCTTCTCTAGCTCATTTTACAGATGAGGAAACTGAAGTAAACAGGGTTAAATGACTTGCCCAGAGTCACACAGCTAGTAAAGATCTGAGGCCAGATTTGAACTCAGGAAGATGAGTCTTCCTGACTCCAGGCCTGGTGCTCTATCCACTGTACCACCTAGATGACTTTGAATTATTGAATTATTAGCCAAGTAATAAAGGGAAGCATAAAAACATTTACCTCCCCTGCCTGTCTGTGCCCCTTTGCACTCTCCCTCAGGCCCCTAGGCCAGGTTCTGTTCCCACAGGGCCTTGATCTTGGTCATCAGCTAATCCCCACTAAGGGATTCATTGATAATAAGGGGTTCACCATCAGCTTTCTCAGTTGGGTCTCTACATTTTTATGGGGGACTTGTAGGGATAAAAAGCCTCCAAGACTAGAAGTAATAACTCTTGAATGTAGGGTTTTAGGCACCTATGGCAAGGAAAAGCATGGGAATAGTTTCAGGCAGAGAGTTCTGAAGCTGGCAGTCCTCAAATCTCACCTTGCGTACTGCCTTCACATCTGCTTGTGTGTAAGGCTGGCCCAAACCAGGGAGCCAGAGAAACTGATGCTTCCAGGCCCCAAAGAAGGATTCAGGGTTCTTGTTGCTGACATCTCATCTGCCTAGAAATAGGCCCCCAGAAAGCCTTCCTGTCACCCCTCTGTCCACTGAGCAGGCAGAGCCCCACACTTACTTAGGTCATGTATGGATATGTGGTTACTCCCATCTCTTTACCATTCCTTGAGAATTCCTATTTCATCTTTTACCTTTGCGTTCTTAGGTCCTAGCACACAGTAGGCACTTAATGAATGCTTGATTGATTGACACAAAATTTGGAACCTTAACCAGTGATATCACCCAACGGTCATCCACCTTTGGTTGTTGAACCTCTCCTTATTTAGCTTGGCTGGTCCTCAGACAATTCATTGCCAGGGCTATACCTAATGGCTTTCCAGCTTGGTAGAGTCTGCCTCACTTTGGGATGACCTTCAAAACCCCGGGGGCACTCACACAACACTACAATGACTCTTTGAAGTAGGACTTTGGGACCCCCATTTACCTGGGAGTAAATCCCACACTGCCTTCCTATGAGCTCCAGAGAGAGGGAAAACCTGGGCCCCCAGGATGAAGGGAGGGAGAAGTTAATTAAAGAAGAGTTATGGGCTACATAATAAGATAGTGAGGCAGAAGCCGAAAATTCAAAGGGCAAGACACATGATTTGGGGAGAAGAATAAGGGATGAGGAGCCAGGACATTTGGGCTCTTGGTCCAGTTCTGCCACTGTGTGGTCACTGTGTGACCTTTAAAAGTGATTTCAGGCTCAGATTCTTTCAATCTAGCCAATAGCTCACAGGTGCTCAGATTCCTTAAGAGTCTGGCTAATATGGTGGATCTTTAATAAACCTTGTCTCTGGCTGGGAAAAAAAAGTGATTTCACCTCTTTTGCCTCAGCTACTTCATGAGCAAAATTGGGACAATAATCCCCTGCCCTGCCTACCTCATAAGGTTGCCATGGTCATTTGAGATAGTGGATTCAAGAGCACTTTGAAAAGTTAAAAGACTGATATAAATGGAAGAGATTTATGTTTTTATTGCCTCTTCCAGGATTTACCTTCTTTTGAGTGTTGGTTCCCCCCCCCCCTTTTTTTTTTGGCTAGGCAATAGGGTTAAGTGATTTGCCCAGGGTCACACAGCTAGTAAGTGTTATGTGTCTGAGGCTAGATTTGAACTCAGGTCCTCCTGAATCCAGGGCTAGTGCTCTGTCCACTGTGCCACCTAGCTGCCCCTTTTCCCCTTTCTAGGAAAGGTGTCTGTGAACGAGATTCTGGGGTTTATGAGAAAACGGACACTGAAGGGAAATTCTCCTATCACAACTCTAGTGAGTATGTATGATGGCGATAGAGGGTGGGAAGGAAGAGGCAGCAGGTTGTGCTGGTTTTCTCTGTGACTCAGACAGCTTCAGCCTTCTCTTCTCCTGATTCATTCATCTCTTTGCCTCTGGCCTTCCCTCCACCCTCACAATCCCGGGGTTATCCTCTCAAAGTTTTTCATGTCTTTTTCATGAGAAAGTCTAAAGTGGACCAATAGTCCCATAATGATCTTGTAGCTTGGGTGGATGGGTGGATATCTGGAGGGATAAAAGGATAGATGGAAAGGGCAGATGAATGCTCGTGGGACCACTTCAGGACAAAGGATAGTGGTTCAACCAAGGTTGGGAAGATGAAAGAAGGGATATGTGAATTGAAAGGAAACAGATGGATGTTTGGAGAGGAGATGAAAGGATTGATAGAAAAATGGAAGGATGGATGAATGTTTGGAAAGACATATGGAAGGCGAGGAATGTTGAACAATGTTACCTACCTCCTGTCAGAGAGGGATTGTCTCAAGATGCAGAATGAGAGACATACTTTTGGGCATAGACAATGTAGTCAGTCAGCCAATTAGTCAACAAATGTTTATTAAGGCTTACCATGTGCCAGGCACTGTGTAAGCACTGAGGACACATAAACAAAGGCAAAAGGGAGCCCTCTCAAGGAGCTCACAGTCTAATGGGGGGAGATAACATTCAAATAACTATGTACAAACAAAATATATACAGAGTAAATTGGAGAAAAACAACAGAGAGAGAGTACTAGTATTAAGGGGGATTGAGAATGACTTTTTACAGAAAGAAGTCAAAAGAATGTAGGAATTTGTTTTGCTTGATTATGCGTAGTTGTTACAAGAGTTTTTCTTTTTCTTTTTTCTTTTAAATTGAGGAGAGAAGAAAAAATAAATTCTTGTTACTTGAAAAATAAAACTATATGAAAGTAAGATATGTGGAAGGATGACTCCTTGAAGAAATGAAAGGATGGATAAGTGTACTAAGAGATGAATAGATGGATATTTTGAGGGATGAAAGAATAGATAAAAGGTGAAAAATGAAGTCTGGATGAATGTTTGGAAGGATATATGGAAAGATGACTTTTGGGAGGGATGGAAAGATGGAAGGGGTAGTAGGTTGCTTATAAGACAAATAACTGTTTAGAGGGAAAGAGGGAAGGAAGGAAAGAAGGAAAGAATTAAGGGCAGGAGTAAAGAAATGGAGGGAGAGAGGGAGGGAGAAAGGGAGGAAGGGAAGAAGGAGGGAATGAAGGGGGGAAAGAAGGGACAAAGGGAGGGAGGCTACCTAGCATTAGGTGACCATTTGTCTTGGCGCCTGCCCAGCCATAAGTATCCTGACCATTGTACCTGCTTGTCCTCTGCAGAGTGGAATAAGACCATAGTTAACTATGTGGTCCACACGAACTATGATGAGTATGCCATAATTCTGATGCAGAAATCCAGCCGCTTTGGACCCAGCACCACTGTGAAACTCTATGGTAAAGACCTACCAACCCAAGGAGAGATGATGGAAGAGTGAAGCTAGCGGAAACCTTGACTGCCTTCTTCCAAGAAGGCCATGAGAGGGAAGGGACCCAGGAGAGCACTTAAGATCTTTAAGATAATTAGAGCTATTAAGCAGTAGGGCTTAGGAGATGTCAAGGTTCTCAGCCCTGGGGGTCTTCAAGCTGATGCTAAATGATCATTTGTCAGGAATGGTTTGAAGGGAATTCATGATACAGCATCATATAATGGAATACTGGTAACTTCCTGGACCAAAACATCCTTCCCTGGCCACCATTCCCCTACAGATGTTTTCTTTCCCTACTAGAATGTAAGCTCCTTGTTGGCAGGCATTGTCTTGCTTGTATTATTTGTATTCCCAGCACTTAATACTGTGCCTGGCTCATAGGATACCCTTAATGAATGCTTATTGATTGATGGTCACCCAGGGTATTGAGGTAAAGGACCAGAGTGGTTATATCTGAGAGAATTTGGAGTTCTGAATCAGTGGGTGTGGAAGGCAATGAGCAGTCGGGGATATGGAGGGGGAGTAGTATAAGAACTCTGGGCTTGAGGAGAGGGGGTAGATTATTGGATGTCCAGATTAGAGGTATCTCCCTCCATAATAGACCATAATCGCTGAGAAGACGACCTCAAGGCTAGGGTCCACCATACCTGGCTTACTCTGCTTTTCCTCTCAGGTCGGAGACCCCAACTTCGGGAAAGCCTCCTGGAAGAATTCAGGGAATTTGCCCTGGGTTTGGGCATTCCTGAAAGTTCTATCTTTTTCAAGTTAGACAAAGGTAATCCAAGTTTCCACTGTTTCACCATCAAATGAGCTGCTCTTTCACGCTATGAATTTTCCTTAAGTCCTTTCCCAGACACAATAACCCCATGAGAGATCAGGGCAGGAGTTCTACAGGCAACTGAGTAACTGAGTGGTCAATAGTCAGGCTGGTCTCTATCCCATGATAAAACCTTCCTGTTAAGATTTCCACAAAGGGAATTCAGTGTCCGTTTTCTCATAAGGAACTCTCTGCTCAAGTGCCCTAAGAAATCAGACAGCCATAAGCACGATCAAATATTTGGTATTTGGGATCCCCAATTTTAATCTTTTTCTCAGTGAAGGATACATCCAATGCCATTCAGTTGACCTTGCTGGGTTTCCCAGTGAGATAGTACAAGAGCATTTCTCTTTGTTGAGTCTTTCTTTGGAGTGCTCTATTATATGGGCAGATTAGTCAGGCCCCCATAAGATGAGCTATCTGTATTTCCTCCTGGAGCCTGGTGATGGAGCCTTCTCAGACCCATTTACCAGACACATGTGTGCTGACACTTACCAGAGCTGATTATTAAATTTTCACTGTGAGTATTTTACACTATAAATCAGGGATTTATTTATTGTTTTATTGTCTGATCTCAAGAAAATGATGAGGAAAATGTTAATAATGTAGATTATGTTTAAAAGTGTGTCCTGTACTGTTTTTCCCTTAGAGAGTTGGTTGTTAAACATTTACCAACATAACCTTGGGTCTCATCATTTTCTTCTTCTTCCCCTGGATACTAGGTGAATGTGTTCCTGGGGAGGTAGAACCTATGATTCCACCTGTACCCAAGCCTCAGGTGAGTCTTTCAGCTTCAGTCTTCCCTGCTACATTCCTTTGGAGTGGGGTCCACAGGGCTGAAGCTCTGGGCTATACTTCTTCTCATTATGTTCCTAAGAAAGACGCCAGGGTGGGGTCAAGAAAGCATCATGCATTCCAGAGACATCTTATCCACCCTATCCCCCTCCTCCAATCACTGTTTAAATCATGGAAACACAGGTTTCACTGAACAGGAAAGGACTCTCCATAAAATCATTAATTATGATTCTGTTTGCACACCCATTCTCAAAACTAATCACCTAAGTGACCATATAGGTCAGAGTGGGCAATAATAGATGTATTCCTCAGATAAAGGAACTTATTCTCTATACCAAGTCCTATTTTTCCTCCCCTAGAGAAACCGGCGGGCTGTATTACCTCTGGAGGCTGAGGCGTCTGGAGCTGGTCCATTGCCCACTGGGTTTGTCAAAAAAGAAGGTAACGATCACAAGATTGTTCATCTATGCTCTCTCCATCTGTACCAGGAGAGAGCATTCACATTAGCCCATCTGAAAGTTATCCACATAGATGCATCCTCTAGATGTGCTGATGTGGGCCAATTCTTGGTCTCAGGGATGGAGAAACCCTACCCAGCATAACCAGGGGCTAAAGGGCTATATTGGTTAAAATAAGATCAAATCAAGAAAGCTTGTTGAAGTACCTTTCATGAATAATATTCCTAAAATGAAAGTCTGACTGTGCCATTCCATAACTCAATAGATTCCAATGGCTTCCTTGTGCCTCTGGGATCAAATAGAAATTCCTCTGGCTTTCAAAGCCCTTCACAACCTGGCCTCAATTTACCTTTTCAGCTTTATTGTATATTCTTCTCTTCTGACACACAATGGTCCAGCCAAACCATCCTATTTGCTGTTCCTCATATGTGACAATCCATTTCCAGTGCCCACACTTATGCACCGGCTGTCCCCCATCCCTAGAATGCACTTAGTTCCATCTTCTCTGTATGTATCTTGTACTCCCTATTATGTCGTGCTTTCATTAGAAGGTAAGCTTCTTGAGGGCAGAGACTGTTCTTCCTTTTCGTTATCCCGACTAGCGCTTAGCACAGTGCCTGGCACTTAGGAAGCACTTAATAAATGCTTGTTGATTGATTAGAATCTCTGGATTCTTTCAAAATCCGGTTCATGCTACCTTCTACATGAAGCCTTTCCTCACCCTCTTGATCCCATTACCAGTGGGATCTACACTACCAGTGCCCTTCCTGCCAAATTTTCATTATATGTATTTTATACATATTTATATTTGGACGTATTGTCTTTCCTGAAAGAATGTAAGCTCTTTGAGGGCAGGGACTATTTTATTTTTGTCTGTGTCACCTCAGCACTTAGCTCAGCGCCTGGTAAATAGTAGGTGATTAATGAATGCTCTTGCCTGATTGGCTGATTCTGTACTTATGCGCTTGGCCCTGAGCTAGGCTATGATGTAGAAAGTACAAAAGGAGACAGACGCCTGCCTTCAGGGAGTTTACAGTCTAACTGGGGAGATAAGACACAGGAACACTTAATAGATTAAGAACAATACAATCATACCTGGTCTTTAAGGCCTAGCTCCAATGCTACCTCTTCTATGAAGGCTTTTCTTTTCCTCTTTTCACCTCCCTCTCCAAGTGACCTCTCCCCCTTTCATGCTACAATTGTCGCTGTTTGTCCTTTGTTCTCAAAGAGGACCATGACATCAGGAAGGTGATGCCATGACTTGCAAATGAACTGGATTGAAGTGAGGGAGGGCTGTGCAAAGTCACCAGCCTCACTTTCTCCTCTGGAGCGATTTGGGTCCAGTGGCCAGATACGGATTAGCACAACTGGAGATGGCCCTGGATGCAGTGGGAAACCCTGGCGGATGCTGTTACATGTTACTCCTTTGCATTGTAGTATTTGTGTCTGTGTCTTACCTCCCTACTGGAGTGTGGGCTTCTTGGAGTTGCCCCTCAGTGAGGAGCTAGGGCCTTGTACCTAACACGCGCTCAGTCAGTGTTCACCTCTGCCAACTCCTCAGATTTCTGCCACCTCAAGAAAGACGTGGGGCCCTGCCTAGGGATGAACAAAAGATACTTCTATAATGCCTCTTCCATGGCCTGTGAGTTTTTCCACTACGGGGGCTGCTTAGGCAACGGCAACAACTTTTACTCTGAGAAGGAGTGTCTCCAGACCTGCAGGACAGAGGGTAAGGTCAAATCCATGGGTCAATTGCCAACTATCTAAATGAGAGTAAGGAAGCACTAGAGGGATAACTACAAACAACTTTCTGTTTGGCCTTGGAATGCATTTTTGTCATCTTTGGGGCAGCTTCAGCTTGGCTGAAGTTAGTATCAGTAAGTCTGTATCCCAAGAACTCATCCCCATATCTTTCCTGTCCTCCCCAACCCCAATAGGTCATAAGATCAAAGATTTAGAAATGGAGGAGATCTTAGAGGTCACCTAGTTTGACTCCCTCAACAGAAAAAGAAATTGAGGCCCAAATAGGTTTGTCCAGGGTCTTGTAAGATCTGGGATTTGAACTACTATCCTGTGACTCATTATTCTTTCCACTGTACCACCAAGACCCCAGTCAAAGTCCTGAACTAAGGGTAGGATTTCAAATCACTCACTCTGTTTCAATAAAAGTCTTCTATCCCTGGGAGGTCCTGGAGTCATGGGATGGAGCCAGTCTCCTCAGGAGGATGAGTCTTTCCACATCTTCACCCCTACTCCTGAGAATACAGAGACATTAGTATCTGTCAAGCTGCCTAAGTATCACATAGGGGCACCTCTTGTCTGGGCAGGACCTACTGGCTACTAACTGGTGCTAAAGGGGGCAGGACTCAGGGCCGGATAAGCTGCTTGGGGTTGGCTGGGGACCTTCCCTCCGCTCTCCCTACCTCCCATGCACCAAACAGCACTGTGCTGAAGCCAGGAAAGTTTATCCTCCATATTCCTTTCTCTCCTCGGTGGCTACAGACACTCAGCTGAGGCATCATAGGGCCATCTGCACCCACCTAAATCTTCCCTCAAAAATTGCCCTGCTCACCTACCATCCACACTGAGGTGTCATTGACTAATAAGTCTACCTTAGAATGTCTTCTCTCTCAGGCGCACTTAACAGTTCAACATGGAACAAAGCTTTGATAGTGGAATTTCAGGCAGGGGGTAGAGGAGGTATTTGTAGGACATTGGGAGCTTTCTGGCCCTAGTCGTAACTATCCTCTCTCCATCAATGTCCCTGTCTACCAAGCCCTATTACCCCAACAGGGATTCTTGACCTTTTTCTGTGAATGTCATGGCAAATTGGCATGCCTGATTTGGCAGTCTGGTAAAACCTCTAGATCTCTTCTTAGAAGAATATTTTTAATTAATTTATTTTGATTTATCAACAATCACTTCCATAAGCTTTTGAGTTTTAAATTTTTCTCCCCTTTCCTCCCCACCACCCTCCCCAAGATGGCACACAATCTGATATAGGTTATATATATACGTTCCTATTAAACATATTTTCATATTAGTGATATTGTAAATAAGAATTAGAACCAACAGGAGGAACCACCAGAAAGAGGAAACAAAACTCAACAGAAGAGAAAAAAAATAGCAAATGGTATGCTTCGATCTGTATTCAAATTTCATAGTTCTTTCTTTGGGTGTGGATAGTATTTTCCATCACAAGGCTTCTGGAGATGTCTTAGATCCTTGTATTGCCGGGAAGGGTTAAGTTTATCAATATTAGTCATCACACAACGTGGCTGTTACTGTGTACAACATTCTCCTGGTTCTGCTCACTTCACTCAGCATCAGACCATACAAGTCTTTCCAGGTTTTTCTGAAGTCAGCCTGTTCATCATTTCTTATAGCACAATAGTATTCCATTACATTCATATACCACAACTTGTTCAACCAGTCCCCAACTGATGGGCATCCTCTCAATTTCCAATTAGAATAATATTTTTAAATGCATAAAATAAAATACAAAGGATTACAAAGAAAATTAATTAAATTGAAATATGGTTATAATTTTTTAATCCACATCCCGTAGGTCAAGAACCCCAACTATAGGGCAATCAGGAGTGGTTAAACCTGGGTTTTGCCTTGCTAACCTTCAGCTCACTGTCTCTCTCCAGCTGCCTGCAGACTACCCATTGTGACTGGCCCCTGTCGTGGGAAATTCCAGCTTTGGGCTTTTGATGCTACCCAAGGGAAGTGCATTCTCTTTTTCTATGGGGGTTGCCAAGGCAATGGGAACAAATTCTACACTGAGAAAGAGTGCAAGGAGTACTGTGGTGTGCCTGGTGACGGTAAGAGGTGCCCAGCTAAGGGGTACATCCCTTACCCTAGGGGCCAGGTCACAGGCCTTTGTTAGGAAAAGACATAGGAGGTCCTAAAATCACAGAAAATAAAGATCATAACTCTGGGGCTAGAAAGTACCTCAAAGGTGATCTAGTCCAAACACCGCATCTTTGAGGTGAGTAAACCGAGGCCAGGAAGATTGACCTTTCCCAGGTCGTACATATAGAAGCTATCAGAGGTGGGATTTGAACCTAGGTCCTCTGACTCTAGTCAGAAAAGGCCAGGGCTCTTCCCACTGTGCCATTCTGTTAGAGATCAGCTAGTGACTTGCCTCCTTTTATCTCAATGCTTCATGGAAGAAATAAGGTCCTAATATTATCAGCACTACTCCTTCTATCCCAAAATCATTTTTGTATCTCTGGGTGACACATGACTGACTTTTTTGGGGGGGGGGGGTCCTCTCTGTCTTTAGAAGAGTTCCTGCGACTATCCAACTGAACTCAGACCTCCCTCTGCATGCGCCTGAGCAGAAGGCAGCCAGCCACGTGTCCCTGGGAAAGCTCAGGATACAGAGGAAGCCAAGTGGAGGGTCTGTAGAGAGGGAGCCCCCAGAAGCTCAGCCCCAGTCACCCTGAATCAAGATAAGCCTCTAAAGACAAATCCCAGTGTCCTGCATTTGAATCTCATGTTACATGTAATCCACCTGTCTGTGCTTGTTCTGACTGTCAGACTTTTAAAGGTGACAACTCGGACAGCTCAGACTTGTCTTTCTGTAGGCACTATGACTTGGCATCTCTAACAGATTTGTCTCCTGGCTCCTTCAATGCAATAAACTTTTATTAAGCACTTTACTGTATACAGACTTCATATAATAGGAATAGGTAATGTGTTGTGTGTTGTTTGGTGCTAAGCTGAATGTGGAGGTCAAATGTTCCACTTTAGCACAATCACGCTACCCTGAACCTGTGTCCTTCTCTCTCTCTCTCTCTCTCTCTCTCTCTCTCTCTCTCTCTCTCTCT